TCTCCTAGTCACCTTAAAACTGTGTTCTGTCATGCTCCACTGCAGAGGGCTCGGATCTTAGGCATGTCCCACCACACCCTTCTTAAACATTTCTACATATTTAACATTTTATTGTGAGATTAATAACCATTATATTCATTCTTAAATATTTTATAATATATCGACCTATATTTTGGTCATGACTATTGGATTCCCATAAAACACATTAATTTCCCCCTACATTTGCAATACTATGTGGGGTTTGCAGTAGTCATTATGTCCTAGACTGCATGCCTGTAAACAAGGGAACAACTGTACCTACAGATTAGACTCACTGTCTTTATCAGGCTGTGGTTCCAAGACATTAGCCCATTCGCTCTTTTAACTACAGTTTATCTCCAGTTACAAAGATGACATAGGCACTCAGAAGTGCAAAGTCATTTGCAAAATGCATGCAGGTAAGAAGTAAAAGAGGTCTTTCATATTTTTTTTCTGGGGTTTTGACTTGTTTTCACTTGGCCAAGTGACATGTTGCGGGCAATTAAAATCCATAAGTGTGACATGACTAAAGTTATAACAAGCCACAATGATTTTATTTACTAATTTACTATGGATTCCATCTACTTAATATTATGTTCACAAGTGTTTGGCCTTCATGTATATATGTGCACCATGTATATAACTTGTGTCTGCTTAGGTCAGAAGAAATCATCAGATCTCCTAAAACTGGAGTTACAGATAGCTGTGAGTCATCATATGGGTACTGCAAAACAAACTCAGGTCTTCTTTGAGAGAAAAGAGCATCTTTAACAGCTCAGCCTTCTTTCCAGCTTTGAGAGCCACAATCTTGGAGCAGTGTTTCTATTTTTACCTTAAAAACATTTTTAAATGTTATACAGACCAGTCTCATCCCCAGCTTTGCAGAAGAACACCTGCTGCAGACCCATCCCCACCACAGTCCATATCTCCTATGGATCCCACAGACCTTCCCCTCATAACCTCCCTCCCCATTCATTGTTTATGCAAGACTCCAACTCTAGCAAACACCCTCAACTAACCCACAGGCCACTCCTACCAAGGAAGCTGTTAAGCTGACTGTACACATTTTCCTCTCCTTCTGTTTCTCCAGATCTAATACTCCACTTTCATCTCCAGTGCTATAAGAGAACTTCTTGAGTGACCTAACCACACTGGCTATCCTTATTCAAAGGACACTAAGTAAGCAGATCCTGGTTGAACACTCTGCTCTTCTCCCTCCTGTGAACCCCTTCAGACACTTAGCTTATCCACATTTCTAAGTGTTTGTTCCCAATATACAGAAACATATTTTACCTGGAACCCCTAGTGGCCACAACTAGCATGTCCATAGAAAATTTCCTATTGGACAGCATTCAGCCACTATACTCTCCAAAAATACACAGAAGAAAAAGAAACCAAGGAGCAAATTGCCTACTCAATAAAAACAAAAATCAGAAATCGCCACCTAGACCTATAATTATCCTAACTCCAGATGCGTAGATGCCAGGGTAAAAACACAATAAATAACAGCTGGTGCAATATGGCTCCACTAGAGTCCATCATTCCTATCACTGCAGGCCCTTAATATTCCAACATAGCTAAAGCAGAGAAAGACCTTAAAGCAGCCTAAATAAAGATAATAGAGGTCCTTAAAGAGGAAATCAATAAATTTCTTAAAGAAATCTAGGAAAATATAAACAAACAATTGGAAGAAATGAATAAATCCCTTAAAGAAATCCATTAAAAACAAACAGTTGAAAGAAAAGAAATCCTTTAAAAAAACAAGCAGTTGAAAAGAATGAATTAAACTGTTTAAGATATGAAAAGGGAAATAAAATCAATAAAGAAAGCCCAAACTTTCTTTATTTCTGGATTTCTGGAATAATAAAGAGGATTTTCTGGAAATGAAATATTTGGAAATTGAACAAGAACTACAGAGGCAAGCTTCACTGACAGAATACCAGATATGGAAGAAAAATCTTAGGCATTGAAAATATGATAGAAGAAATAGATACATTGATCAAAGAAAATATTAAACCTAAAAAACTCCTGACACAAAACATCCAGGAAATCTTGGGTATTATGAAAAAACCAAATCTAAGAATTATGGGAATAGATGAAAGAGAAGAAACACAAGTCAAAATCCCAGAAAATATTTCAAAAAATCATAGAAGAAAAATTTTCTAACTTAAAGAAGGAGATGCTTATAAAGGTACAGAACACCAAATAGACTGGACCAGAAAAGAACTTGCCCTCAACACATAATGATCAAAACCTTAAACATACAGAATAAAAAAGAATACTAAAAGCTGAAAGAGAAAAGACCAAGTAACATATAAAGCAGCAGTTCTCAACCTGTGAGTTGTGACTCCTTTGGGGTTCAAATAATCCTTTAACAGATGTTGCCTAAGACCACTGGAAAACAGATATTTACATTACAATTCATAACACTAGCAAAACTACAGTTGTAAAGTAACAACAAAAATAATTTTATGATCGAGGGTCACCACAATATAAGGAACTGTATTAAAGGGTCATGGCATTAGGAAGGTGGAGAACTACTGATGTAAAAGCAACCTATTAAAATTATACCTGACTTCTCAATGGAGACTCTAAAATCCAGAATGGTACTGACAGATGTGTTGTAGTCTCTAAAAGACCACAGATGCCAGTGTAGATACTATACCCAGTAAAACTTTCAATCACAATACATGAAGAAAATAAGATATTCCATGATAAAGCAAAATTTAAACAATATCTACATACAAATCCAACCCTAGAGAAGATGCTAAAAAGAAAATCTAATCTAAGGAGGTTAACTGATGCATGAAAACATAGGGAATAAATAATCTCACACCAGAAAAATCAAATGAAAAGAAATGCTAGAACACTCTCTCTCTCTCTCTCTCTCTCTCTCTCTCTCTCTCTCTCTCTCTCTCTCTCTCTCTCACACACACACACACACACACACACACACACACACAATCACCACCACCATCACCACCAACAACAAAAACTACAAAATAACTGGAATCAACAATCATTGGTCATTGATATCTCTCAACATCAATGGCCTCAATTCCTCAATAAAAAGACACAGATGAACAGAATTGAAGCAAAAACAGAATCCATCCTTCCTGCTGCATCCAAGAAATACACCTCAACATCAGTGATAGACATTACCTCAGGTTAAAGGTTGGAAAAAAGATATTTCAAGCAAATGGACCTAAGAAGCAAGCAGGGGCAGCCATTTTAATATCTAACAAAATAGACTTCAAACCAAAATTAATTAGGAAACATAGGGAAGGACATTTCACACTAAGCAAGGGAAAAATCAACCAAGATGACATTTTCTCCAAACACAAGGGCAGCCAAGTTTGTAAAAGAAATACAATTATAGCTTAAATCACATATCAACTCTTACACACTGACTTCAATACCCCAGTGGTCCAGACAAAAACTAAACAGAAAGGTGCTGGAGCTAACAGACATTAACCAAATGGACCTAACAGGTATTTACAAGAACATTTCACCCAAATACAAAGGAATCTGCCTTCTTGTTGGCACCTCATAAAACTTTCTCCAAAATTGACCACACTCAGGCTTAACAGATACAAGAAAATTGAAATATCACCCTACATCCTATCTAACCACCACAGATTAAAACTGGATGTGAACAAGATGAGTGACTCATTGCAATTTGCTAGTAGAGCTGATTGGACAAAAGTGTATATTATGTGACACACTGCTCCCAATGCCACCAGGATGAATGAAGAGATGTTGGAGAGGCAGGGAAGAAGGAGAAGCAAAGAGGTTTTCTTGATTTTTGTTCTTGTTTTTGTTTGTTTGCTTGCTTTATTTTGATTTTTTAAATAATTCTTTATTGATTCTTTGAAAATTTCATGTCATGCACCCCAATGCCACTCACCTCCCAGTCCCTCCATATCCTCCCCTAACCCCTGTAGTATGCCCCGAAATTAATTAAAAATAAAACAACCAAAAAAACCCACCTCACTCCTCTAGAGGTGGACTTTTTCTGTCCTGCCTGCCAGCTCCAAATAACCACACAGAGACTTAATATTAATTATAAATGCTGGACTGATAGCATAGTCTTGTTACTAACTAGCTCTTACAACTTAAACTAACCAATATTTTTATCTGTGTTCTACCACATGGCTCAGTACCTTATCTCAGTATGACATGTTTATCTTCTGCTTCCTCTATGTCTCCCTCATGACACTGAGACTCCACCCTTCTTCTTCCCAGCATCCTCCTTGTCTGGCTCTCCCTCCCAATCTCTTCTTGCCCAGCTATAGGCCAGTCAGCTCTTTTGTTTGTTTGTTTGTTTGTTTTTCAAGACAGGATTTCTCTCTGTAGCTTTGCGCCTTTCCTGGATCTCGCTCTGTAGACCAGGCTGGCCTCGAACTCACAAAGATCCACCTGCCTCTGCCTCCCGAGTGCTGGGATTAAAGGTGTTCGCCACCACCACCCGGCGTTTCTTTTTTTCTTTTTTTTGTTTTTTTTTGTTCCAGTCAGCTCTTTATTAACCAGTGAGAGTAATACATATTTACAGCATACAAAGATTGTTCCACAGCACTCCTCCATCTTTCCAACATGTCTTCATTCATCCTAGTGGCATCAGGAACTATAGTGTGTCATGCAGTATACCCCTTTTGTCCAATCAGCCCCACCTCAAAATGTTCATTTCAATGAGTCATTGGTCTGGTTCAAGGCCTCTGGTTTCTGGTAAACCATGATTGCTGGGCTGGGCCCTCATTGAAACTCCTCTCAGATATCCTATTGTTGTCCCAAGTCATGGAGTTTCTTCGGTTATCATTCTGTAAGACCAGTTTAATTGAGAACTCCGGGAGGTCAAAGATGAGGCAGCTGTTAGGGTGGGCCAACACAAGACTCAGGATATGGGTTTGGGTGGTAGTCAAGCTGGTTGGTCTGGGTCATTGGACCATACCCTCAGATGAGAGGCAGAGCCAGCTCTCCCATACCCATGGTGTGGTGTGGGACCATCTCTCTTGAATGCTGTGGTCAGCTCTCCCATGGTCAACTCTCTTGTTATAGTGTCCACCAAGGGGCAGGACCAGCTATCCCAGGGCCATTGGAGGGTGGGGCTGGCTCTGCACAGCCCTTGGATTTCAACACTCTTGGTTCCTATGACCCCCTGTGGCAACATAAGTCATAGATATTAGCCCAGACCATAGCTGCTCTTGGACCACAGACTCAGTTATGGTCCATGGCAGCAGCCTGGGCCTGGGCACATGTGGTTGTGTAGGCCCCTTGGATTGGCCTGATCCTCATGGTAGTAAAGCCCTTGGATTCTAACATGGCCACAGGTTAGGCCCAGACCCCTAGCATTGGCATTGCCTTTGATGATATCAGGAACCCTGGACATCAACAAAGACCTTGGCTGCTTTAGGGACACAGACTCAGACATGGCTCTCAGCAGCTGCCCTGGCTCAGATAATACCATGACCCCAATGGTAGCACAGCCCTCAGACACCAACATGGCCACAGGATGCAGTCTTGACCCTAGGTATCCATGAGGCCTTTGGTGGCACCACTGGTCACAGATTTCACAGACTCTGATTGTGATAGGAACACAGACCTAGACATTGTCCCAGGCAGCAGCCTAGGCTTGGATGCCACCATGGCCCTGGTGACAGCACAGGCCATTCAGATTGGCATGACCCTGACAGCAGTGTGGTCTTCAGACATGAACATGATCCCAAGGGGCAGCCCAGACCCTGGCATTGGCCAGCATTGCCTCTGATGCTATCAGAAGCCACTGGTATCAACATAGACTCTGGCTGCAGTAGGGCCACGAACCCAGACATGGCTCTCGGCAGCAACCCTGGCCCCAAAGACACAATGACTCCTGTGGCAGTATAGTGCCCAGATAACAACATGGTCACAAGAGGCAGCCTAGACCCCAGGCATCTGTGTGGTCTTTTGTGGCACCTCAGGCTGCAGACATCACAGACCCTGACTGTGTTAGGACCACAGACCCAGACATAGTCCCATGCACAGGCCATCCAGATTAGCATGGCCCCAAAAGAAGTATGGCCCTCAGAGACCAACATACACTCAAGTGTTTGACCATAGCCCAGTTACCCTCACAGCCTTCAGTGGTCACTGAAGCCCTAGACATCAACACAGAACCTGGCTTACCCAGGGGAATGAACCCAGACATGGCCCCTGGCAGCAACCCAGGCCCGATGTCATCATGTTCCCTGGGTGGCAGCACAATCCACCCAGACTAACATGGCCCCAGTGATGGCACAGTCCATGGACACCACAATGGCCACAGGTGGCAGCCCACACCCTGGGCATCCCCATGGCCCTGGCGGCAACATGGGTCATGGTTGTCAACATAACCTGGCTGTTGAAGATAAAGATGTGGCCAGCAGCCCAGGCCTAGTCACCCTGATCCCAGTTGACAAGCAAGCCACCAACATTAGCCCATTCCCTTCAACCCTTGCTTCTTCAGAACTGCCTCTTACAGTATCACATGAACCATTCTGCTTCTCTTTCTCTCCAAATTCACCAACATATACTTCCTCATCCTATTGACACCCAACTGAGAGTGCCTGTGGCACTGGGTGAGCCTATGGATGCTGTGAGGACCCAGGTTGTCCCATGAGTATCTTCTAGCTACCTGACACACACAAGGTACTAGGCAGGCCTGTGGATGCTTCAGGAAGCCCATACATAAGGACCCAGGCTGCCCTGTGGGTACCATCTACCCCCAAGAGCCTCATGGCATCAGGACATCTGTGGATCTTGAATTTTTTTAAAAAATTTTCTTTTGGGGGGTGCTGCAGGGGTAAGGGGGGACTGGGAGGTGAGCGGAATTAGGGTACATGATGTGAAATTCCCAAAGAATCAATAATGAAATTAGGTTAAAGAAAAAGAAAAAAAAGAAAGAAAGGTCTGAGGTGATGACAGGGAAAAAAACAGTTAAGAAACACAAGTATAAATAGCCTTGATCTTTATCTTTTCCATAATATTGACTCATTAATATTTCCTTAAAATTAGGTGTTAAGCTGTTTTTTCAAAACCAGTTTTGTGTTCTGTATAGAGTGGGCACAGGAATAATTAACAAGTAAACAATAGATTCATTTCTTTAAAAAAATAAGCAACTGGATATCAACACCAGAAATCTTACAAACTCAGTGAAACCAAAGCACACACTATTGAATGAAAAATGGGTCAAGACAGAAATAAAGAAAAACATTAAAAACTTTGTGGAATTGATTGAAAATGTATATACATCATACCCCATGTGTGCTAGAAGGTAAGTTCATAGCACTACATGTCTACATAAAAAATAAACTGGAGAGATCTCATAGTACCAACTTAACAGAACACCTAAAAGATCAAGAACAAAAAGAAGCAAACACAGTCAAGAGGAGTAGACTACAGGAACTAATCAAACTCAGAGCTGAAATCAATAAAATAGAAACAAAGAGAAGAATCCAAAGAATCAATATTACAGAGTTGGTTCTTTGAGAAAATTAACTGGACAGACAAACCTCCATTCAATAACTAAAAGGTGGAGAAAGAATATCCAAATAAACATAATAAGAAATGAAAGGGGATATATAACAACAGACACTGAGGAGATCTGGAGAATCATTAGGTCATACTTCAAAAACCTGTACTCCACAAATTTGGAAAAATCTAAAAGAAACAGACAGTTTTCTCTATAGTTAACACTGACCAAAATAAATCAAGATCAGATAAGCAATTTAAACAGACATATAAGCCCTAGTGAAATAGAAGCAGTCATTAAAAGCTCCCAACCCCCAAAAAGCCTAGAACCAGATGGTTTTAGCACAGAATCTACCAGGCTTTCAAAGAAGAGCTAAGGCCAATGCTCCTCAAATTGTTCTACAAAATAGAAACAGAAGAAACACTCTCCAATTCATTCTATGAGGTCACAGTTACCCTGATACCTAAACTACAAAAAAAGCAAACAAAGAGAATTACAGACCAATCTCTTTTATGAAAATAAATGCAAAAGTGTGTAATCCACCATATAATAAAACCTAAAGACAAACTGCATAGTCATCTCATTAGATGAAGAAAAGGTCATTGAAAAAAATCAAATGCTCCTTCAGAAGAAAAGTCCTGGAGAGGTTAGAAATACAAAGGATATATATAAACATAATAAAGGCAGTTTACAACATGCCCATATCCAACATCAACTGAAATGAAGAGAAACTCCAAGCAATTCCACTAAGAGCAGGAACAAGACAAGACTATCAACTCTCTCTATATGTCTATTCAATATAGTACTTTAAGTTAGGGCAACAAAACAACTTAAGGAAATTAAGGGATACAAATTGAAAAGGGAGAAGTCAAACTATCTTTACTTGCTGATAATATGATAGCATACATTAGTGACACCAAAAATTCTACCAGGAATTCCTACAGCTGATAAATATCTTTGGTGAAGTGTCTGGATACAAAATTAACTCATAATAATAAGGACCCATCCTACATACAAATGACTGAGAAAGAAATGAGGGAAACAATACTTTTCACAGTAGTCTCAAATAATATAAAATATCATGGAGGTAACTCTAACCAAGCAAATGAAAGACTTGAAGGATAAAATCTTCAAGTAATTGAGAAAAGAAATTAAAGATATCCAAAGATAGAAAGATCTCTCATGCTCATTCATTGGTAAGATTAATATAGTAAAAATGTCCATCTTATCAAAAGAATCTACAAATTCGATAAACTCCTCATCAAAATTCCAACACAATTCTTCATGGATCTTGAAAGGACAATTCTCAGCTTCATATGAAAAAAAAACAAAAAACAAAAAATGATGGTCATGAGATACTTGATTACCTGGTATAAAAATATGTCATTGTGAATGGTTTAAAAAAAGCTAAATGACCAATAGCTATGCAGGGACTTCTGGACAGAGAGAACTTTAGGAAGAAAGGCAGAGTTGCCAGCTGAATGCAGAGTGAGCAAGACATGCAGGGGGAGAGGTAAAAGCCATGAGTCTTGTGGCAGCATGTAGATGAATAGAAGTGGGTTAATTTAAGTTATAAGAGCTAGTTAGAGGCAAGCCTAAACTGTAGGCCAAGCTCATAATCAATAAGTCTCCATGCCATTCTTTGTGAGCTGGGGCCCAAAGAAATATATGTCTAAAATAGTGCCCAATGTGGGGCTCGAATATCCAAACATAGGGCTTGAGAAAGCTAAGAAAAGTTCTGGACATGGAGCCAGATATAGCTTCCTAGTTCTAAAGTCTCTCAGGTGGGCTGGTGTTTGGTGGCATACAGAAGCATGGCTACTACCTGCTGCCTATGGGATGAATCTAGCCATCAGCATCATGTACTAAACTGAGCCATGCTAGCAGCTGACATAGCAGTTTAATATTTGTCTCACACAACCAAAGAACACTGCATGTGCTCAGTAAAGACAGATCCAGATGTATAAAACCTCTAAACAGGTTATAGTATGTAGCTGTAAGTTTTCTCAGGTCCTGCCCAGCCCTTATGGTTTCATGTTCTTCCAGTCCTGCCCAGCCCTGCAGTCCCACAGTTGCTTATAAAATAATCATCCAGAGGCTTAATATTAATTACCAATTGTATGGCCTATGACAGGCTTCTTGCTAGCTAGCTCTTTCATCTTAAATTAAACCATTTCTATTAATCTACATATTGCCACATGGTCATGGCATTACCAGTCTGCTGGCATGGTGCTCCTTGGGTGGTGGGCTGGTGTCTCTCTCACCTCTGCCTTTCTTCTTCCTGTCTCTCTCTTGGATTTCCTGCCTAGCTATAACCTGACTTGCCATAGGCCAGAGCAGCTTTGTATCCAATCATAGCAACACATATCCACAGCATACAGAAAGACCACCCCCACAGCACTTCCCCCTTTCTGGCTAATCAATAAGGAAGGTATTAACTTTAACATAGTAAAATTACATATAGTAGAACAGTTATCAAGCAATAATTAGAGTTATAATATCTAGTCTATTTGTATTTGGCAAAATTAAAGAAAATACTCTATCATCTA